TTATTTAGTGCATAGCCATTATACTTCATATTATAAAATTGAAGTGGTCAAGTGGATCCAAACCAAAACAAAAAATGTAAACAAAGCCCGCATATGCGCAGAATGGACTGTAATCTAGCTTTAAATGAAATAATACCAGTATATATTATTTAGGTCATATAATTATACTAAGGGAAAATACATTTATTATGCCAGGGGTGAAGATGTCTTGAAAAAAGCTCATATTTTTACAGGTCCTCTGTTGGGGTTATTGCTAAATTTTTTATGCCCCCAGTTTTTAAAATTTTCAATGCCCCCCCCCCCCAGAAACCGGAATACAAGGAGTACAATCCTGAATTCTCTCTTATCGTAGGTACAACCAAGGGTGGGTAGTAGTGAAGTAGTTGTAGTTCGCTACTGTAGCGAACTACAATTTTCAAGTAGCCATGAGTAGTTTTTGACTTCTTTTTTAAAACAGTAGTTGTAGTTATAGCGAACTACATTTTGCCTAAAAGTAGCCAAATAGTTGACTACTTTTCAAACAGCGAATCGCTATTCGCTACTTTTTAAAATTGTTAGCAACCGTTCATAGAATAGAATGATGTTAAGAACGGTTTGCTTAAAAGATTATTTTATACAGTAAAGATTATTTTAGCGCAATGAAAAGTGGCACTCCTGAACACTGTAGTGCTTACAAAAATGTTGCTTTGACCCTTTTTGTTTACTGTTGTTGCTCGTAAATCGATTTGTTATAGGTTATATTACAGCCTGAGCTAGTGGATGCTCCAAATATCGTAAAACTAAAAAATATAGAGTAGCGAAATAGTTCGCTACATTTTTTAAGCAGTAGCTGTAGTCAGTAGCGAACTACCTTTGTTCAAAAGTAGCAGTAGTTGTAGCTGACTACATATTTTTGAAGTAGCTGTAGTTATAGCGAACTACAAAAATTTTGTAGTCAACCCACCCTTGGGTACAACTTGCAGTTCCTCAAGATGTCTTATACGTACTCAAGCACATGCTTCTCCACAAAATACCGACTCTTTGCTTCTTTCACCTAATTCTCACTATTGCCAGATGAAATGGCACCATCTTTAAAAAGCCGTTTTAGATTGGCTCTAGGACGAAATAGTCATCAGGTTGTTGTTGTCCATCATTCAGCGTAGTCGGAGTCTTGAACACGTTCGTGTAGTGGCCGGGATTTTCTGGATCAGGATAATGTGCTGGAACCCTAGAGAACCTCGCCCCCACCCAACGTATCTCCTGCATCAGTCGCAAATTTCTTTGCAACATGCCTGTCAAAAAAGCATGCAAACGCGCCAGTATGCTTCAACTTCAGTATGCTTCAACTTTCATCCTGTTTCTACTAAATTTCCCATGAACATAGAACATATCATTCTTACAAATCGTATGGTCGTATGGTTTTTGTTCTCGGAATTGCTACTTTTTGGCGGGTAAATTACGTCGGCGGGTCTAAAACACAGTCACAGGTTCGTTGCAGGTCGCAGGCTATGGTCACAGGCTGAAATTGGAAGGAAGTATTAATATTTTTTGCTTGTAATTAACTGCATTCAAAAATAATTTTTTATCTTTTAATTTGGCCGTTTGTTCAAAAGCTGCGTTTTAGACCCGCTGAAATTACGTCACAAACTTGGCGCCAAAAAAATTAAAAATAAGCTATAGGTGATTTAATGTATCCATTTAGAAGAGCAGACTAAGGGTATCTTAAAACTGAAATCGGTTTCGAAATACAACCATTCCTTGCGAAGATATAGTGACTTAAATTTCTAAAAGTCTGCCATTTTGTTCTATTTTTAGCATGCAAAAGTGCCAATATGCTTCAACGTCTTTAATTTTTATCCTGTTTCTACTAAATTTCCCACGAATATAGAACATCTCATTCTTACAAATCGTATGTTTTTTGTTTTTGGAATTGCTACTTTTTGGCTACAAACATGGCACCAAAAAATTAAAAATAAGCTATTGGTGAATGGTGATTTCATAAATCCATTTAGAAGAGCAGACTAAGGGTACTTTAAAACTGAAATTTTCTAAATGGGAAGATATAGCGATACAAATGTCGAAAAATCCGCCATATTGTTAATACCATGTGGAGCTCCTCCATGTGGTAGAGTGCCTCCAATGGCCAAAATACATAGTTGCAGTGTAGTCACAAGTGGTTATTCACCTTCAGTTTTGTTCATTGACATTAATTGTTCTGTTCTGTTTGTATTGATATGTATATATTAAAACTGGAAAGTGAAAGCTAACTCTGCCCCTGCTGGACCAAAACTTTGAAAAGTTCAGTACACTGCCCCACCGGCCCACCCTTCGGTATATAGAGAACTTTCAGAGCCACCCTTTAATGCCAGAAAATAGTTTGGTGCCCCCCGCCCCATCTTCATCCCCCCCTCGGCAAAATAATTGTTCTTTCCCTATGTCCATTTTATATACATTTGTAAGAGGGTCTAGATGGGGAGGGGGGGGGGGGGG